TCAGCATAGGAAATCATTCATTTGTCCCAAAGAATTACAACAGCAAAGTTACAGCGCAGATCGAAGGCAAACAAACAGACTTATGTTAGATTGCTTAGTATTTTATCTGAATCCGAATTCCTTTATTTGTCCCACAACGGGGACATTTGTATTATTACAACAGCAGATAGTGCAGATAAAGTGAGGACTCCAGATTGTATCATGAAGCCTCAGTTGTTGTACGTCAGCTCACATACTCCTCTCATCCCTGTGATTATTTCCACCTCCAAATAGGAACCATGAAATGACACTCGGGCTGTCCTGATTAGTCTCATCAAAGGCCCTCTCTGTCTGAACATGGTCTGGTCTGCATTGCCGTTCTTGACCTCTACCCTAATCATTAAGGATAGAAACTGCATGCATAAATAAAGGATAACAAGTTCAAGAAATATCAATTACCGGTGTCATAAATCATCTGACACATTGCAACATGAGAAAGCTGTTTTTTTTATTATTTGGAAGCAAGTATAACCCTTGCAAGGGGTGATCTAATATCCAGCTGGCTTTGCCCATCAAATTGATTCCTTTCAGAACATAAATCGCTGGTTTGGGTTAAAAATATACTGAAATACCTCTTTTTTACTCATATCAGTTGATAAAGTCAAACAGTTTTCAGCCTTGCAGCTCACCTACTTCCAGGGCCCTGAAAGACCCAACCAAAGTTTGAACCTAAAGAATGTGATTTTGTTACATTGAATTACCTTAACTCAGGGGTGTCAAACTCAATTTCATCGCGGGCCACATTAGCATTATGGTTGCACTCAAAGGGCCGGTTGTAACTTTAAGACTATATAAAAATACATATATACATATTTAATATATATAAAATAATGTATTATATTACATTTTTGCCTCTGCATTGGATTATTATGGGATAGGGTAATAACTACATAATTAACTACGTCTGAAAGCAGAAGTCTCGGGCAAATAATTGCCAGTCTCTTCAGTGAGAATGTCACAAAATGATTTAAAAAGAAAAGCCAAATTCTGGAAAAAAAGTCAAACTCAAAAAAAAAAGTATAATTTGAGATGCATTGTGGGACATGTAGTTTATGGGCAACGTGTTCTGTAAATCGGCATGTAACCGTATAATAAACATATTCTATTCTTTGCAAGCTCTTGTGGGGCCACAGAAACTGAAGTCACGGGCTGGATTTGGCCCCCGGGCCTTGAGTTTGGCACCCCTGCCTTCACTGCTCACTTTTAGTTTCACAATGCAAATGTTCTAGCACTGCAAAGCACCATACGTGACGCTACGACCTGACGCATCAACGTCTTGAGCTCAGTCCGTCTATACTAGCAATTGATTGGTTTGTAGACAGGCTTGAGATGTCACGAGAACCTAAACTATACCTATGTCCTAGGTATGATATGAAATGTTGAACCATCAAATTGGACAAACATGGTGCCACGATGTATTAAGGTTAGACTGATGTTATATGTCTGTTTCATTGTATCTTGTCCTAATAGTAGTCCTAGAATGTACTCCTTTGCCAAACATCCTCTGAATGTTTGGCAAATTCAAAGTTCTACAAATGTACGATTTAGACAAATAGGACCTGGAACATCCTTGACATGTCAATATTGCGTTGGAAAGAAGAAGACAGAACAAGAGGGATGATGAGAGGACACACCTCCATATCAAACACATCAGCGTCAGATTCAGAAAGGCTCCCATATGGCAGCTTTCTGTGAGTCAGGCTGTCCTCAGCTCTGCCATAGCAGCTGTCACCATCCAAGGGCTGTTTAGAGAGGCCACTACTGTTAGCCATCATTAAATCATGTTATACAATATTTGGCATGTCAATATGTCGGTCAATGCTCACCTGAAATGTCAACAGAATTCTTTGCTGCGGTTCTTCTAATTGGATATTGGTCACGGCGTTGTTCTTTGCCAAAGTAAAGTAAGGTTGATGCTGTTTGGTTTTGGTTTCTGAAAGCATGGGTGATTCTAGTAATGAAATGACCACCTGGATGCTGTCTGTTTGCCAACGCAGACCTGCATCTACAGCCTGGAAAGATACATAGAATGCAGTCGATTAACGCAGTGCACGCACACACACACACACACACACACACACACACACACACACACACACACACACACACACACACACACACACACACACACACACACACACACACACACACACACACACACACACACACACACACACACACGCGTCACATTGCAGCCTGACATTAGTTGCAAGCTCCTTGAGAATGTGACCTTTTCCATCGTGACTTGATAGGTCCACTAATCTTTCCAAGTTTGAGCCGCTGTAGGTCCCACTGCTAGGTCATCGGGCTAAGTGACAAGCCATAGGTTGATAGAAAATCCATAGTGGTATTGCCATACATTACTTTTATTTGATTGGGCCTGTAGTGAGCATAATGCAACCGTGAGGCGGGCGCTGGTGAAGTAGCAGGGCTCCGTCGGGGTCCAGGGACCATTTGTCGCTCCTCCAGCCCCCCCGCCCCCAGCACCCAGTGACAGTGATGTATGTTCTCTGCCACCATCCATAGGCCCGACCCTGTGAGTGCTTGTGAGTGCTGTAAATCACCCCCTGCTATTGATTTTTCCATTAGAGGTCAGCCGCCCTGAACACCTCTGACAGGGCGCTCACAAACACCTCGCTCTGTGAGGAGGGAATGTTGAAGGAGAGCAACATGAGGTCACATGACTGGATGGGATATCTTGCAGGAAGTGAATGTTACCACTTTTTACTTTATATGCAGCGTGTAACCACCTTTTTATGTCAATCGCAGATAGGCTTTGTTCATACTTTCCAGCAGGAGGTATAGCGAAGAGGGTTGGGGCAACATGTGAAAACATTTTGGAGGTCTGACAAAAAGTCATTTTTAGTTTTTTGGGGTTCTGAGAGTAAAGTCAGAATTCTGAGAAAAACAACTGAATACTGACATTAAAGTTAAACAAGTCAGAATCTTCTTAGAATTCTGACTTTTCTTCTCTAAACTCAGAACTACAAACGAAATAACTTTTGGTCAGATCTCAAAAGATCTTTCACATGTGGCCCTAATCCTCTTCTGTAGAGGTACGTCACAGCACATGTGAAATGCCAGACCTGTGCCAAAGATAAATGAAACATTGTGTCTTTTCATTTCTTTTTGAAATGTATTTATCCAGTTTCAGTGCACATTTAAAATAACATTAAATAAAAAGGTCTTGGTGAGCAGGGCTGTGGAAATGACAGATGATCAGATCATGGAAAATATATTCTTGATTCAAAGATGTTATTGTCATATTCATAGCTACAGCGTAGTTGATGGCAATGAACATCTATAGTTACTGACTGGAAAGAAACATACATAAAATAGTGCAAACCATACAATGGTGCAAGTACAATGCAGGAATAAGTCAAATGGAATCAAATGAAACAGAATTGAATTGAAATACTATACAGTGGAATAAAAACCAGCTTACTGTAATAATGTATAACGGTGAAATTGTATAACATTTGCTTGAAATGCACTCTTGCTGATTAACAGACATTCTGCTCCAGAGAACATCTAATGTTCAGCAGGGCACAGTTTAGTTATCTAATTTCTGATATTAAGTCAGTTAAAATATTCTCCATATCATTTTATAATGTTGTTGTTGTTGTTGTTGTTATCATTACCTTGATGCGAGATGCAATCACATGTTGCATTACATTCTGAATACCTTAGTGGCAGCAGCTGCTCAGTCTGTAAGGACCTGGCTTGGGAACCGAAGGGTCACAGGTTCAAGTTGTGGCGGTTCAAGAACCATTTTACCGGGGGCTTTGCTGCCAGTTCTTTGTTGAGAGGGGCACATTTAATGTGGGATACAAATACATTTTATTCAGTATAAAGTCAAACTGTACAAAAAACCCCATAAAAAGCATGTTTGGTATTTGTTTCAGTTACAGAATTTGTGGCAATAACTTTGTTAAAATGTTGTCCGTCTAGTTGGTAGAGCTGGCCGTCCTGGGGCTTGCTCCCCATGCAGAAGACCTGGGTGGGTTCGAATCCCGCCGGGGACCAATCCCCATCTGTCATCTCCTCTGATTCCCCCATTCAACACTGTCACATTGGCACAATATGCCCAAACATGTCTTTTAAAAATAAACATTACAAAATTAACTTGGGTACACATTTTTATTAAATTACAATTTTAAAGGCAAACCATTACCACAACTTTGGCTCAAGTTGCCGCACAGTTTTTGAAGCAACACTATTAGAATTGGTATTAATATAGACTATTCTTTCTGGATGGGCCCTGCTTATTGTTACCAGGGCCCTGGCCCCTGGTGGCCCGCCCCCCCAGAACCGCCCATGGACCATACACACTGCAACAGGTAGCTGGAGAGGTGCTTGTTCGCCTCCAGTGCCCCCAAACCACTTCGCTCTGACACCACAAACGCATGTGTGTTGTGGCCTTTGTATATAAAGTAATCTTCCCCATAAAGATGAATAAAGTACTTCTTAATCTTAACCTATTTCTACAGTAGTCTGTATATGCTGGAGTCTATTCCACAGTCTGATAAGCATTCCTTCCATAATCCTGCAGTTGTTGTTGTTGTTGTTGTTGTTGGTACAGTGGTGTGTCAGCAGGTGCAGTGGTGTGTGATGGTCCCTCACACCCTGTACACACTGAGCTGCAGGCCCTCCTGACGCTGGATGAAGAGGTGTCGCTGTTACGCTTGTGGAACAAGCTCTCTAAGTGCCTTCTGCCTACATTAGCAAGGCACTTTGTCTTGTGTAAATATAGTAGCATGTCGCACAGTTGAGTTAGGAAGAGTTGTGGAGCCCCAGGCGCCGGGCTCATTTAGGTTTTGCGCACGACTGAATAATTCAGCTCAAGGTTTATTTAGTTTGAGCAAATGTGCTGTAACAGCTGGTGTGGTGTACTGACCAATAGAGTGGAAGTGTTTGTCCCTTTTTGAAATGCTCACCTGTGTTTTTCCTCTTTCTTACAGACAATACAGACACACAAGCCTCACTTCTTTGCTTTGCACTGTCAGGAGGTGGGGGGGAAGAACTATGAGGCGTCCATGTCCCACGTGGATAGTTTTGTCAAGTGAGTATCCTCATATATGCTCATGCCCTTTTCATGTTGTCATTTTCAGAATAGTTTGAGATGATTATGTTAATAGTTGAGCAGTTTCCATGAGGGAAACCCCCTCCCGATGTGGAACATGCAGGAGTACATTGTGTTGTAAAGCGGAGGACTGCTCCCCCCACTGGTGGCATCCCAGCTGTACATCGGCACAGCAACACATGTCGTTGGCCTTAAACAATATGCTAATAGTGTAAATGTAGGATCAGAGTGAATTTCGACTCAGTGATTTGAGGAGCCAGTCTTTCCATCACTAACTTGAACTAACTGCTTCAATTGATTCAGTATTCTGTCATTTATATTATGATGTATTCTTTGATCTGTATCTAGAATTGTTAGCGTGATAAAGGTTATATATATATTTGAAGTGGTTTATTTTCCACATGAGTTGAACACAAATTAAGAAGTAATAATAAAGAGCATACAAATGAAGACTAACTATATACAAATCAACAATATGACAATTCAAATCTATAGAGTTTCTGTAGAACATGCAGCATACAGTGTAACACTTAAATAGACCAACCTACTACTAAAATACAAACATAGGATGCTTAATTCATTGTACTTATATATAAGTAGAACATAAGTGTTTTTTGTATTTATTGAAATGCAATGAGGTAGATTGTATTGACATTTACTGATGTGTGTGTGCATGTGTGTGTGTCCTGTGCATCAGAGAGCTGTTGTCCAGTGATGTGATGAAGGAGTACAACAGAGCCCGCGTCTACCTCGATGAGAACTACAAATCCCAGGAGCATTTCACAGTAAGTGCTCTTTGATGTGTTGGTGGTGCACAAACCCCTTGAATTTAAAGTGGTTTGACCTTTCAAGCGTATATGTGTTAAAAGAGAAATAAATCCAGATTGCTATTATTTATTTTTCTTGATTCAAATATTATATATCCTTACACCAGGATTTATTCCGGGACTGTTCAGCCAAAACTGAATTACGCTGAATAGAATTAGAACACAAAACATTATTCTACTACAAGCAGGAAAACATACTGCAGCATTTTAAAGATTTTTGTAAAATTAGACACAAATGTAATTGTATTAGTTTATTTAACAGTGGCCAAGCACCACACGACTGCTAATGTGCGTCAATAGTCCCCTGGACAGGAAGTACAAATGCGGTACAAAACAATAAATACACTACACAAAAAGAAAAAAAAGCACAAACGGTAAGTTACATCACACATACAAAACATTGTAACCCAAAATATACATTACAGTGTCAACATGTTTGAATATAGGTTACATTTTAGATCAGTGATCACATGATACAAGCCTGTTCATTCTCTATTGTTTTTGTTATTAAACTATTACACGTTTGAACTAAATCAAACCTTTAATTCCAAAATACCCTTTTTCTCTGAGGTCTCTAACAGAGAAACATCTCAGACAGGTGCATGAGTCATTTTGTGATCACAGCTCTTAAATCAGGACAACGTTTGAAAACGTTACGTCCATTCGACGTGGGTATAAGTTCAACTCAAACTCAATTTGAATGGCTTACAATCAAATCTGATGAGATGATGTGTTATTAAGGGGTTTTACGTCAAGGTCTAACTACAGCATAAAGTAAGACCAACTTACAAACATGACAAAAGAACCACCATCATCAATGGTTGATGAAGAAACAACAATAACATCATTCAATGGAGTATTGTATTGTGCATAGAAGCCGTGGAGTTGAAATGTCTTAAGAGAAAAGCCCCATCCTCTCCTAAACAGAAGAAAGACACAGACATTATAGTTGTGTAACCTTTGTTGTTGTTGTTTTGTGTCTCGTTGTTACACCTCTCCCTGTGGTGTTATGTCTATATTTTGTATATCTTTCTGGTCAAAACATTTGTAGTTGCCCCCATGGTTTTGCCTCTTTGTAGTCATTGGTTGTCCCTCCCCCCCCCCCCCTCGTTTTAAGTCTCTGCAGCCTGTTGTACGTGTATCTTTGAGTGACATTGTGTAAAAGATGGTCAGGGGGTCCCGGACCCTTAAGTTCTTTTGGGCCTGTTCTGGTAATCCCATTCAGTGATTTAATCATATTCGAGACTGAACTTCTATTTTAAGATCCCTTTACCAATATACTGCACTGTTCCATAGCCTGCCACAAGATGGCAGTAGATGCTTGGAAATAATTCTGATGTCAGAGCTCTGTTAAAACTTCAGATGTTCTGGGACTGAATCTTTAGTGATGGTTAAGATTTATGAGCAGAACATCCTTAGCATTATATACAGTTTCATACATTTCCAATACAGTAAAGTTCGATATTAAAGGAATGTATACAAAAGCTTTGTAATAAAATAAAAGTGTTGCAAATGTCCGATTTTGAAAAAGTCAGAGAAAGGGTCATATGTCACATTGACATTTAAAAGATTCATATTTTTACTTTCTCCTTATATAAATATGCAAGTTTATTCTTAAACATTAATAATACTAACATGTTTCAATATAATTTGGTTATCTATACACAAAATGCAATCTTTTCTTTTAATTTGCTTGTATTACAGCTGAATAGATGTTTTGAATGTGGCCTCTTGGTGGCGCCAGGTACTCAGTGGCACAGCAGTGGCAGAGGACTTGAGCAATGTGTTCCAACATTGCAGTGCAGTTTTATATCTGATGCTTAATTGACAGAGTACGGGTAAATACATCGATTATGTCTGCAATCCCTGGAGATTATTTGGAAAACACGAATTGAAGAATAACATATCAAGAGAGGTCCCTGCGTGGTAGGTCGGCCCCACTTTGTCTGTAATCAGACTTGTGTGTGTGTGTGTTTGGTTCTCCTCCATGGTTTCTGGCGTTATTACAACGCTACACTGCATCTCCACAAACGCTCATAAATCACAGCAACCACTGAGTCACATTTGCTCTTTTCAAAAAAATATTACAAACATTGGCCTTTAGGAAATATAATTATCTGCCATTTCATATAAGTGCCGCTAATATTCCCGGCATTATGAGCTGTTTATTTAATGGTGTTTGTCTATGGATTAACCTTTTTGTTGTATTTTGGTTTTCATCAAATAGAGAAGGCAGCTCATGCTCTCTCTTTGTGAATCAGTCAGTGGAAAGGGAGACATCTGATGTGCTTCCTATTATGTTGATATTGAAATCCTGGCAACAGTAAATATGAATAGACTCTCCAGTCTTTCTCACACAGGGCCTGCCATTTGGCTTTGATCACATCAGCCATATTTGTTTTCTCAATCTTCGATTTCTCTCCCCCCGTGCTCCGGGGATAATTGTTTGTTGTCTGCCCCGCCTGTCCATTTTCAGATCATGTAAGTGGGGACACTTTGGTGGGTCCGCTTTGTATGGTTGTGTTTTGTCTGCAGTTATGTGCGTGTATCTTCTTTGGAAGTAGAATCTTTTGGATGAGTGTAGTAATGTGGCGAGTGTATGCTCAAGGCCTTCCCAGTGTGAGAGTGTGTTTGAAGGGAAAGAGAAGAATGTGATGGATAAATGAACATGTGCAATTCTGTTATGAGAGGCTCTTTTTTGATGTAACTGTGATTGAAGAGGGACAAATAATGTGTGAAACAATCGATGCAACATTTTAACAGCAACTTTGTTCTAGCAAAACAGCTCAAGTTTCCAGCCAACAGATGTGGATATCTGTTGGCTTTTCTCTTCTATGATACTACATTGAATGTAATTGTGTTGTGTAGTGTTGATTGGACAAAACAAGCATTTGAAGTGTTTTTCAAATGCTGAATGCCTCAATGTGTAATACATAGGATCATGCTTTTATTTTGAAGGCAACATCAAGTTTGAGTCAAACATAATTCGCACAGTATATACACAGTATATACACAGATGTACATCTTCTGAGATGTTTTTCTAAATACAAAAACTGAATTGTACACAACTACAAAATCCTCAGACCTTACAATTGAAGCTGAAACCTGTTTAATGCAGACAAAAAGGAAAGGTATTAACATTTATAAAGTATGAAAATACAAAAATGTAATATCCGGTCCTACTATTTGACTCTCTTTGTTTTGGTTTATCCCTACTTTCCTCTATCATTTTCTGGACCAAAAGATGCATTGAGAAATGATGCAGCATAATTAACGGGTGCATTTTTTTACTTTTATTTTATTATTACTATTTAGTTTATACTTGTACAATTCAAATGAATGGCACCAGAGTTGGCTAGGAGCATCTGGTGTCTCTGGGCAGGAGGACACAAACAACCGCAGAACAGGTGAACTACAGAAAACATCACAGTATATTCAAGTCCATCAGTGTGCGACAGTAAATGGAAGTATTTATTTTAAATCATGTAGAAATGGATTATATAACACACTTTAAGCTTTTGACATGTTTAACTCTGGCTGTGAAAATGTATTTAGCCAGAAAAGTGGATCTGAAATGAACTTTGTCTTGTGATTTGCTGAGCTAAAACAGTTAATCATTTGATAAAACCCTTCCAAATTCAACCTGCTGTCAGTGACGCAGTGCAGGGAGCGTTAGCTGTGTTTGTAACTGTATCTTTCTTCATCTAAATTGAACTGTAATAATGTCCTGATGTTAAAAGGCTATATATAACAGCTCAGTGCTGAATGTGAACAATGAGCGGCGGAGCTCCTCTCTCCCAGAGGAAGGCAGCATGATGGGGCAGAGATGAGTGACACATCCCCCCCCATGGCTGAGCCTGCTGCTTTACAGCCCTGTTAAGGTATACAGCAGGTAAAATGTCAATTAGGAAGGCCCGCCCTGATAACTCAACTCCCAATCCACTTGTTCTCGGCCATTAATATTTATCGATGGGCCTGGCCCTGGAGCTGCGGCCCGTGTCATGCGGAATGATGTTGGCTAACATTACCGCTTCCTGAAAAAGGCCACTGCCAACCGCCGTGCACAAACACACATCTAGCACTGTCACCCGGTGTAATCAAGCTATCCACACACACAGACAGTGACACACACTGCAGCCTCAGCCCTCACTTGTTCCAGGGCATTTTAATGGGAAATTAAAGGCATCCCTCATGCCTGTGGTCTGCAGGACAGGAATGAGAGCAGCGACAGAGGATAAATCAGCCTCTGTGGCTGACAGCACACCGCTGTCTCCTCTTTACTGTGTGTGTGTGTGTGTGTGTGTGTGTGTGTGTGTGTGTGTGTGTGTGTGTGGTGTGTGTGTGTGTGTGTGTGTGTGTGTGTGTGTGTGTGTGGTGTGTGTGTGTGTGTGTGTGTGTGTGGTGGTGTGTGGTGTGTGTGTGTGTGTGTGTGTGGTGTGTGTGTGTGTGTGTGTGTGTGTGTGTGTGTGTGTGTGTGTGTGTGTGTGTGTGTGTGTGTGTGTGTGTGTGGTGTGTGTGTGGTGTGTGTGTGTGTGTGTGTGGTGTGTGTGTGTGTGTGTGTGATGGTGTGTGCTGTGGTGTGGTGTGTGGGTGTGTGTGTGTAGTTGTGTGTGGGTTGTGTGTGTGTGGGATTGTGTGTGGTGTGTATTGTGTGTTGTGTGAGTGTGTGTAGTGATGGTTGTGTGTGTGTGTGTTGCTTTCACCTTAAGAGACAGCGTTATAGTATGCAAGCACTCTGTCCCGAACAATTTGTGTCATGGACCTGAAAATGCTGGAGATTCAGAGCAAGCTGTCTGCCGTCTTGATTTCATTATCATGGGGTCAGTGTCTCTTGTTACATGGAATACAAGCTGCAAATGGTCATAGACTTCCAATGAAAGTAATATACTAGCGTGAATCACAGCTAAAGAGAAGTCGGACATGTTGATCTGTAAATCAGCTAGATACCTATAGCTTTG